CTTTAACCAATACAAACAACACCTATTTAACTTCAAGTTTTAGTACAAAACGTAACAAAACTAAGAGACGCTCGATGTTCACTCGCTTATTTTAAAAGTGGTGGTCACTGTGACCTCATTATTTACACAGCGTTCACAAACTCGGTATTATGATTTTTTATTTGAATAAATTGTCTTTGAGCCATAATTTGTTAAAATAATGTTTTAGTCATACATAACATACGCCATTACATGCTGTAATTATGGTATTGTTACAAAGAAATAAAAGTTCCTAGCCGAATATATCTATGCCGCTATACCTAGGATATTTTCACTTAGAGAATACAGCAAAACTGGAATAAATTTACAATTGAGCCCATCATGCCATTGAAAAAGACGGACTATCAAATCCTCAGACTATAAAACTCTCGGACCAGCGAGCCCTCAGAATGTCGAGCTGTCCTCGTCATGGTTGTACGTCAATATGTTAAGGTCTTGTGGTGCGGCGTTTGATAAGCTTGACGTGCGGGAAAACCAGCGATTGTTTTTTGACACACAGAGGGCGCACTTTTCATTCTCTACGCAATGTATGAGGGCTCACTTCACTTCTGCCACCAGTTGGCCTGGTGTATGCCATGCAGATGATTGTATCACGTTATTATGACCTTCAAAGTTAGAAATGGCGCTGTTGTCCGGTAGTAACACTTGAATATGAAATCAATAAACAAACTCGTGGTTTTATTTAATACATTTGAAATTTTACAGAGAAAGTACCGAGTGTTATCATTACCTGGTGGTATATCATTTATTATAAAGTGTTACATATCCGTACAACCTGTTTTGTATTTTATGCAGTTCACAAAAAGTGACAACAAATTCCATATTAAAAGTTTGCCTGAACGCAGTGGAAACATATGTCAAACAAATTTAGAAGGAAGGGAATAAGGTGAGCAGGAGCCGAAGAGCGGTTGCGAATCGAAAACTATCATGTTTCTTTTTTATTATTTTTATTATCTTGCTAAGCATTCAAGATAAAGAATGTTTGCACCTGTTATCTATATTTTGAAAATCGTTTTTTGAGTATGTTCCACTTTTCACAATTCTACAAAATTTCAACAGTCTATAGCCAAGACTGTTTGGATAATAAAAAGCAAAAAAAAAATTACTCCCAAGTGCCCACAAACCTGCATCTCTACCTTAAGAACGTATTCGAATCGTCGGTCTGAGAGTTCCGCGTTAGATTGGAATTGATGGCGCCCTAGGATGGTGAAAACTCAATCCCAGTCGAATCTATGGAAATGTTCGGTAATGTTCGGTAACTTCCGATAATGACCATTGTCATAGTTGCTATAGGGCACATACTGATTCCTACATCATATGTTACAGACGAAATGTATCTGATAATACAACCTTACAATACAACTGTCATTTTCTGTAACAATCTGGATGAAGACCGAATTGTTTCTGTTAGCACTCGTTGTACTCCTCCAAGCTGTTTCGTAAGTCGTGTCCAGATTTTGCAAATGAACATTTATTTTGAAAGAATGTGAATGTTTCCTGTGTTTGTTTCAATTTGACCTGCAATTTTAATACAAAATTTATAGGTTAGATCGTGTGATAATGTATGTCAATAAACAGTCATATTACGTAAATATGTCTTGGTCTCGGTATTAAAGATGGTTATTGTAAAGCGGAGGGGTCATCACCTGCGCATGTGTGAGAAATGAGTCCCAGGCGACGAAAACAATGCATGTTAAAAACGCAAAGGCTCATTCAAGTTGGCAGACGCTTTTTCTAAACAATGACATATTATGACCATCTGACGCATGCGCAGGTGACGACTCCGGCTTTAACACTTGTACACAAGGTTGTACGAAATTGCTTGATTTGCAACGTTGATGGCAGTGCTCAAATGGCGGATTCAAAGGCAGACGGTTCGAAAATAGATGAGATTTCTTATTCTATTTCAGGGAATGATTCAATTTACTTTCCACACAGTCAATACCTGATAACTCTTAATTAATTCATCGTGAATATTACATCATTGGTGTTCCATTGAATATATTTGTAAAAAGCGATGGTGAGCTGGACACATGTGCTTTGCCCTGGACGGTCGGTACATACTACAGCACTCCATGCTTTTTTGAATGCCGTCTACGAGTTGACCTGCAGCCCAACCCATCTCCGTGGAGAGCGAAGTCCTTACACAATAGCGTGGTTCATAAATGACGTCACGTAATGTTATTACTTTTTTATAAAAACTTCCAAAACTTCAGATCATTCATTATTAGTCTGAGTACAAACAAATTACTAATCTAAAACTAGAACAGTAACAGAGACCTACGTATTTAAACTGGCGTTAAAATAAATTAGCAAGGCCTTGAGTTCATAATATTTTTTTTTCTCGGATTGTGACAAATCACTGAAAATCCACAGCGAAGTAGCACAGTTTGAAGTAAAATTGTCGTTTTACGAACTATGCATATGAGCAAACACTTTACTGATACGCACCATTAATTCAAAACGCTTGCGCATTTGCGTCGCTTATTAATTCTTAGAACAAATACTATACATAGTAATAATCCATTGTTATGAAAATGCAATAATAATCGTAGTATCCATAAAATCTTTTTGAGTTACGTAATTAGTATATAGCTTGCTTCGTCGTCATACATCAGCACCAATCTATGACTGGTTCACTCGTACCCACTCCTACCTTTATCTACACTTGTTAAAGATATTTTAAATCCTCTTCTGCTGTTTTGAAAACAGTTGGAGCGGAAATGGATCCACACCAGTGGAAACGAAGAAGTAAAGTCGGCAGGCTCTTCGTCGCCCGTTACTATATACGTCACCCGCGAGAATGGTGGGCCTACGCCTACTTCCACTATGCCACACAAATCCGTATCGAGATCGTCAAATGATACCTGCAATCGAATATTGATTACTTTTTACATAGTGTTGTTGAAACTACAAATAGTTTTATAATCTCCTTAATTATATTAAATTATTCAATGTGAACAGAACAGCTTTAGTGATTCTGGTACGTATCACCATATAATTTAATAAACTCGTTTATTTTGAGAAATTAAATTTAATATGAGGTTATTACGATGTATCCTCGTAATAGCCTTATTATTATACATCTTTTCCTTTCGAGGACACATCATGGGAATGCCGAAATACAAAATGTTTAGAACAGAATCAGCGAGCATCTTTGTGTGGAATCCGGTCAAACCCTGGTGGCAGCTATGTTTGTTTTTATTACTAAAGGACGCTTACGCACGTTATCATTCCATATTTGTAATTCGCATTTCCTAATATGGTAGGATGAAAATACCCCGTAAAATACCGCAAAATTACGGCACGCTGTAACTTATGGTGTTATGGTGTATAATATTAGCATCTATAATGATTGTATCACATTTAATAAAAGGATCAAAATACGCCGGGTAATTAGACAATTACGCATAAAGTGGGAGCTTTTAGCATTTGATGGCTGACAATTGAAATAATGTGACAATAACATAATTTTAATTATAAAATGTAATGACGACAAACTCCATATTTTATTTTACGTATATATGTTTTCAACTAACTATGATGTCCTTCGAATTAAAACTTTCGCGCATATTAGTGAGTAAGTTAGCTAAGACTTGCTCTACGCGTTATAGTGAGTCTACTTCTCATGAACAGTATGTGAAGTCTGTTACTTTGACCACAACAAATCAAAGCACAAGTTTCTGGCTTAATCCAACAGAACGTGATATAATCCGTTAAATTATATTTCGTCTGTTATTCTATGTATACATACCAGTATATCTCGGCCTTGTGATGTAGTCCTGATTCTCCAGAGACAGAAAGACGAGTCTGGATAGGGATCCGGATATCCCGGTGATGTGACTGCGATGGTCCTTCCATTCGCTATGACTAATTCCTCTTCACATACGTTACTTTGTCCTTGTATAATATTAAAAAAAAATTGTCTTGGGATTCATTTTAAAACAACTGGTGATTATACAGTGTTCGATAGCTACTGACAACGCCTTATCGCTACAAGTTTTTGAAAATCGAATGTTGGTACTACTAACAGCAACT